TATCATGGAAAGCGTCTCTCGTATGGGATTATTTGCAAGTCACAAGTACTGCTGCCAAAACTAGAAGCAAATTGACAACTGACAAAAAAAATATTTAAATCTGTTCGTCAAATAAAAAAGGCTAATACTACTAAAAAGGCTAAAACTATTAACAAGGCTAATACTACTAACAGGGCTAATGCTACTGTCATATTAATGCGTGTTATAAACATTTCAACTGTCCTCTCACTTCTGCGTCCAGACTATTTTCAAAACGCCACAAACGGAGCATTTGGCAAATACACGGTAAGCTACACCCAGAGGGATGGCAAATTCAATAATCAAATACCCCCATCCGGCCGCTGTTGGCCTTCGCGTGATCTATGTAGGGACATGCCACAGGTGTGTAATTGCGATGCGAAGTACCGTTCTTATAGGCTTCCAAAACATTGTAACTTGCCAAGAACTAGTACTGCTCATCTCCACATACAATCACAATGTCTCTTCATACGCTCATCAATGGCAGTCTTACCGCTTGTTACGCCAGAACTTGCGGTAAATCAGTGGTACGGGGTTCTATTCCCCGTAGTGCCCTCCCATCCTGCCAGGATGAGAGATAGGCGGCGCCATAAGGCCGCAGCAGCTGAGCGTAGGTTAAGCCCCAATGACACATCAACGCCAAAAGTTGCTCGTTTATTAATGCAATATTATCAATTTTATTTTATGTAAGAGATCTTTGAGATATGTAAGAAATCTTTAAGATACAAGGGTCAAAACTAGACTCTATTCTTATTTCCGCACCTAAATTATTAGCTGTAAAATCGCTACTTTAAACATGACAAATATCAGAACAAACAATGTCATTCTGGATTTTCTTCGTGGCTAATCGAGCGTTCCGATCGTAATATAAGGTAAAAACTGAATATGGGAGCAGCTCGGGTATGTCTTACGCGCTTACCACTTATCAATATCTAGTCAGTGTTGATGTTTCACAGCTGCGAGATACGTCATCCATCGCGCATTCCCGTCGCGTCCAACGCTCCAATGGGCGAAGGAATACCACCCACGTCTCATTGGACGATCCACTCTCGCGACCTGCCTGTGCACATCGCACATTTGCTGGCTTTATGGTGCTTCATGCTTCATGCTATTTTTGAAATACAGAGACGACAAACAATGACACAGTGTCGGACAACGAGCTCCTCAACTCATCCAAACGAAACTCGTATTCCCGTTAAGCACTCAACGTTGATGCTCACCATACCACAACCTTATTCATTGCATGGCACTGCCGCCTTTTGGAAACCAGAAAACATCCAAAATTAAGGTGAAAGCTAGACAGCCATGACTAAGTGATATCACCTGTCTCACCCAAAAATGCAACATAAAAAACGGTTTGCAATGAAAGGAAATACATGTGTTAGCGAGACATTGGCGCTCTAACAAAGGGGCCGCTGGCAAAGGGCTGAGCAGCCCCCACCCTTCCCCACCCCCATGCCCACCAAAGTCGATTGGTAGCACCGAGGCTCAACGGCGTACTTTTCCTGCGGGCTCATAGCCTGGTAGGGTCACATGCATGACCTTCTGAAAGCTATACAGTTGATTCCAGCTGGCTGACTGCCCTTAAAGTGACGCCAGAAACCGTCTTGTTTCTTTGTCCTCTAGCGACATCGGCTATTTTCTCCATGAACGGGCGCAAGTGGTGCGGTACCGCAGGACACTATGAACGGGCGCAAGTGGTGCGGTACCGCAGGACACTATGAACGGGCGCAACTCGTGCGGTACCGCAGGACACTATGAACGGGCGCAACTCGTGCGGTACCGCAGGTCACTATGCCTCTCTGCGCGGCCCCCGCAGATTTGTTCTGGCTTTTTAAATGCGCTGCTCTGTTCGGACAGGACAGAAACATGTCGCGCTAACAATTAAAAGATAATGCGCTCCGGCCTTGGTCGACTCCACATTGCTTCCACCAATTCCAGATGGAAAATTAGTGAGTTTCGGGTACCCAGCAATGGCTTGTGCATGAATCACTGAGTTATCATTTCCTTCAAAGCTCCCTCACAAAACCACAAAACAAAACTAGCACCGATTAATGCAATAAAAAACACCATATATCTAAACTCTACGCTACGATACTCAAACAGCAAAGTGCCGAAGATTTGCAACCCAAAAGAAAACCATATCGAGAAGCAAAGTTTTTCGTCGCCGCCTGGCCAGGTCAGAGGACCCGTTCCACACGAGCGTTGGCCCAATACATCGACAAACAAACGATCGCAGAATGACAAGAGTTGTCTGATGTATGTAGAAAACATGACGGATGTGCATATTATTGTCACCTACAGATAATTAATCTATTTTTTTGCACGAGTAATGCTAGGAAGGAATCAAACGAAAAGTCTTTACGCTTTCTTCCAAGCTAGGCCCGCAACACAAAATAGCTAAGACAAGTTAATACTTGAAAGGAATAAAACAAAAGGCCTTGCATTTCCATCCACGCCAAGCGTGCACCACAAAATATCTAAGACAGGTTATATATAAATAGGTGGTGTATGTACCACCCATTGGCCTTTGCTGATAGGATAGTCGAGAAGCGACCAAACATTTCTCCTGTACCTTCGATGCTAGCTGTCCTGAAGTAGCAGTCTTTATGATGGATTGCTTTGTAATTGCAAAGGTGATGTAACATGATTCAGTACGTCAGTGTTCCTCTCTTTAAGAGTGAGATTCACTCACACAATCTTGAGCCGAAAAAACTCAGAAATTTAGGCCAGCTGTTCACTTTTTAACCATGGAATTGTATGGCAGTGTCCACGAAGTGGTTAATTAAGACCAATTGTGGTGACGCTTATATGCAAAACATGAGCTGACATGCTGAAAATAATACGCCTTGCATATGCATTACAGGGAACGTTTAACATTTGAAGATGTAAAAGCATGAGATATGATCAAATGCGCTCACTTATAAACATCGGTATATTTTTATGTGGAAAAGACTGCCCTCGACGGCTAAATTTCTGTATTTAGTAAACAAGCTCCTCAATGCGTCACTGTTCATCTCGAAATCGTGGGGCAGAGGGAGCCAGGAATGGCTCAGCATTCGTGCTTGTGAGAGAAAAAGCAGCAACCGGGAACAGACATGAGGCAGCGGCAACCAAAGGCAGCTTTAAGGCCAAGAGTTAGGTGGGTTGTTTTATCCTGGCACCTTCAGTTTTGTATGCCAACGATTTATTGCTTTGTTTCAATTCTTATCCCTAGCAATGATGTCGTGCTGCAGTTCCTCTACTTCACACATATTTGGGAAAGGCCTGCAGAGGCAAGGAAAAGCATGCCAAGCGAATATACATGAAAGCATTCTGGACTACTGAAAGCGGCCTATACTATCGGATGTCATCTAGCCTTTCAGAGGGAACGCCGCACACATTGTCAAGCACCATGTTGTGGAACACCAGCGACTGCAGGGGGTCATATCAGCTCTGTGGGGCTATGGCGCAACTGGGTTTAAACTAGGCCCTCTACGTGGGATCGGAGGGCACCAACGCTCGGTCATGACCTCTGCTAGGAGACATCATCGCTGGATATCTCCCCTCAAATCAAGCAATTCATATAAAGACAAGGCTTGCCTCTTACCAGCAGGACTTACAAGTTCTAAAAACACAACGCCCCTCTTCCCAGTCCGACTTTTCATGTTAGTCGAGGGAAGCAACGCGTCCGCCCCGGAACTCCTACTAAAAACCACCAAATTACGGGTCCAGCACTTCCTTCGATCAGCGAGCCGCCCGCGACGGGAGCGTCAAAAGGCGACTAAGCAGCAGGAGCCAATCAGCGTTAACAGCGGTACAGACAGGTTCGCCTGTCACCAGGTGGGAACGAAAAACGTCGTACCTGGTGGCTCGAGCTGGGGATTATCTGACACCATTGTTGTCGTATGCCGAGCGGACTGATGATGGAAGCAGGGAACAAGGTCCAACGTTCACATCACAGACCTGACCAGCGGCGAAGAAAGCGAGCAGACAGCTGTCCCACCTCTTAGAACTATTTGAAATTAAGCCATGGTGCCAACTGAAAAAAACATGTACAAATCGTGTGCATCCCTCTCTTCCATCTCAATCCTTGCGTCGAAAGTTACTGGAGCAGTTTCACACAGCTGTCAGGAGTCAGGACGCAAATTTTGGGAGACTTAAACACGATTATTCACTCAAAATTGGTCAGTCCACTCACTACGACCAAGTATCCCCAGTCTGGCTACTGCGCTGTATCTGGTTTTGTCAGTGCAGATTTAAATGACTGGTTCATATCTTGATTTAATCACAAGACGCGGCATGCAACATTGATCAAAATCAAACCTCACGCCTCACAATGTCCAAGAACCAGGAACTTAAGAACTTTCTCTGACAGATGTCGAGGGAAGTCGCTGAAGCCCAGGACCGAACATTGCTCCGATGCCAGCGTTGGTGACGTCCTCAAAACGTCACACACCACATGCCTCGTTGCCTGGCAGATTCCAGCTGTCGCAGAGGCATCCCACAAAGTTACTTCGAATTTTGCGAACAGGTTACTGAGATGCAACGTGAAGTGAGTCATCGTTGGAGATCTCCACCCACCTACCCACCCCCGCCCCCCTGCTCGAGCGACGAGCCTAAAGCCCTTTTTGGGATCTGGAATATCTGGGATTTATTATCTTGGACGGATGAAGAATGTTTGAAACCAGCCGGGCTTTGGACCTGACTGTAGGATCTCCAGCCCTGAGCTGTAACCCCCGCTCCCGCTGTGGCCTTCGCCCTAACTACCTAGCCCTTTTGCTGAGCAACCACGTCCACAACAGCCCCACTCCCTCAATCAAGCTCCGCATGTTCCCGGCTGCGCATGTTGCGGTGTCCGCTGCCGCCTCCGGTCGACTCTCGCGTACCGGTCGACTCTCGCGTACCGCCCTCCTCTCCCTGGCACGCGCCACATCCACACGCAAAGCGGCGCCGCCGCACCGGCCGGCTGCCGGCCACGGGAGATCGCCAACAGCACTCACCTACCGTCGCAGTCACCGGCTCTGGGTCGTCCAGGAGCATGGGACTCGGTGGCCGGGCAAATCCAGCGCCGTCACTTCTCCTGGCAGGGCGATGCACAGCGCAACTGTGAGGTAGCCACGTCCGATGTGGCACAGCGCAACTGTGAGGTAGCCACGTCCGATGTGGCACAGCGCAACTGTGAGGTAGCCACGTCCGATGTGGCAGCACACACCGAAGCCGTAGCCACTGCTGCTGCGGCGGAGCACACAACCGGCGCTCCCGATGTGGCGCCACACAGACACACACACACACAAAGACACACAAACGGCTCTGAGGTGGCCACTCCTGATGTGGTGACGCGTGCACAGCTGCAACCACTCCTGGTGCGGCAGCGCGCAGGCAGCTGTGAGAGGACCACTCCTGTGTGGCGAGCGAACAGCTGTGGTCACTCCGGATTTGGCGGCGCACACGCTGCTGTGCGGCGGCCACTCCCGACTCGGCGACACACTCACAGTTATGGCCGCTTCTGATGCGGCGAAGCGCGCACAGCTGGAATCACTCGCTGTGTGGTGGCGCACAGACAGCTGGGCGACTCCCCACGTGACTGCGCACCAACAGCTGTGGCGGCGCACTCAAACACCAGCTGAGGCACTCCGCTGTCAATGCGCAGGAAGCCGAGATTCGCACCACAGCGCTGTCCCAGCGCGGTCAGCTCTCCAGCGCAGCTACTGTGAACCCGACTGGCGGCTGAGCGGCAGCTCTGGTCCAGCCGGGGACGCGCGCGCCTCCACCGCCTGCTGACCTTGAGAGCTCAGTAACGTGCCCGGCGGCGGTTTCGCTGCTCCAGCGGCGCCGCGGCATGGCCCGCCAGGCGGCGCGCGCTATCAGACTCCCCCTGACGGCGCGAGGGCGGGCCTGGACAGGACGAGCAGTGAACTGGCGGCTTCAGAATGTTCCTGAGGAGATATTTCTATTGCGTTTCACCACATTGCATTACTTGAATTACCGGCATTTGAACCCATAAAAAATGTGTTAAGTGGACAACTTCATACAGGGTGCAACATGGTACCGCAAAGCTTCCGGTGCACAACTTTTGTTTTCGACCTTTCGTGTCCGCAAAACTTTTTACACCTTCATATTTCTTCGTGTTTGGTTAAATACGTATCAAATTGCTCATATCCTGTATCTTCGCTTACGTGATTGTTGTATTGCATCTGGCGCTTATGCTGTTGTTCGCATCGCATCTGATCACGCAATCCTTTCAGCTCGTTCGGAATCTGTTCACATTTTTTGTTCGTATTCAGGCTTGGACGTAGACGGAGGCTGTTTTTACAGACTTGAACGGGGCGCACGTCATGACCGTCACGATGTGGAAGGAACTGACGTGATCCTATTTCATTTAGGGGCATATCCCCGCCCTTCCTCCGGTTCCAGTTGTTTTATTTGTGACGGTCTGGCCCTCTGAAGCGGGATGGTTTCTTTAACATAAACCCCGCCCTTCCTCCGGTTCCAGTTGTGATGGTGCGGCCCTCTGAAGCGGGATGGCTTCTTTAAGATAAACCCCGCCCTTCCTCCGGTTCCAGTTGTGATGGTGCGGCCCTCTGAAGCGGGATGGCTTCTTTAAGATAAACCCCGCCCTTCCTCCAGTTCCAGTTGTGATGGTGCGGCCCTCTGAAGCGGGATGGCTTCTTTAAGATAAACCCCGCCCTTCCTCCGGTTCCAGTTGTGATGGTGCGGCCCTCTGAAGCGGGATGGTTTCTTTAAGATAAACCCCGCATAACTGGACAAATTTTTAGTTTTTGGTGTTACCCAGAAGTGGCTTCAAAAACGATTTTTGGGTGCGTGTCCTGATGACCTTACTTGACCTTACCGTACCGCATGGCCATCGGAACTGTCGATGCACCCCTCCCCTTTTGTGATTGGCTTTGTGATTTTATTTCGCCGGCATGCCGTGCCATTGCGACAAAATTTTCCGCATCCTGCTGGACATTCATTGCTCGTCTTTCAAACCAAAAGTGTGTCTTGCTGTTCAAGTTTCCGAGAAGCGATGTTTTTTTAGGAACACTGCACGACGATCTACGGCCAGCGTGGGTGGCGGGAGGCAACCAACGAATCCACTGATCTCGCGCGGATGGCTGACACTGTTACATCAGCAGAACCCTTCTTAATGGATATATGCTCAAAATACATAAAACCTCATATTATTGTGCCCTAGGTTTCGATTTCATAAGAGGACTGGGGGAGAGCAAAGTCGTGGATGTTGTTAAAAGGGAACGGGTGCGAAAAGGATGTTTGAGTCTGATTTCCTGCCCTGGCTATTCATCATAAAGTGATTGGGGGCAGCAGAGTCGTGGATGTTGTCAAAAGGAAACAGGTGAGACGCCCATCATATATATATATATATATATATATATATATATATATATATATATATATATATATATATATATACAGCAACCACATACGGAAGCTTGGCTGCACGTACCAGTTTAATGAAACAGGAGGAGTGCAGTAACACCATTCTCTTGCATACCGAAATATGAAGTGTACGTATAATTTACTATAATGCGCTTAGGTAATATCTTATGCAATCATTTATGTACTCACAGGAGTGGAGCGTCCGCACTATATGTGGTTATCGCAACTCGTTTACACGCACGTTCTCGGCATCCAAAAATTTAATCGACAAACGATGAATTTCAGTTAATGTAAAGCATAGCATACATAAGTACTCCTCCACGCAACACTCAAGAAAATTATCTTCAACCTTTCATGAAATACGCTGAGACAGATGTCTTCCTGTTGGAAATGCTATTTACCCCTTCGCTTTAATGAGCACACATTGTGAGCCTGCTGTCCTTGTGGGGCCAGGCTGTTGCTCCAGGCTGTTGTGTCCCTGAAGGGAAGTGACCCTACCAACTTCAGTCTGGACGTGAGGCAAACAAAACGGCCGTCATATCAATGTCATTTGCAGCGCACCTTGGTTGCAACAGCGTTGCTGATTGAGTCGTCTCTGATGTACCCATACCATTTTACTTATATTTGAATACTCTGCCGCTGTACCTACAGCAGTGATGTGGCAGAGTACGTTAGGCAGCGCTGATGATTGCACTGAGTGACGCAAGAGGTTTCCTGGCCTCAGATGACAATGATGTGATAGCACAAATCGAATTCCTGTGGACTTCTGCATAATTGCGTGCGGTTTTGACGTCCGGTACTGGGTTTCATAAAAACAACACCCAGGTAATTGCATCTCCTTTGCTGCGGCAATGAGCCTATCGTCAAAACGGACCTGTCCGGGAAAATGCGTCTGATGCGCCGGCACGTTCCCAAGAGTTATCAGCTGGGTCTCTGAAGGGTTACCCTTTACCCCGTCGTACGCATCACTTACGCAGTAATTCAAGGGCTTATTTCATGAATTCTACACGTTTGGCTAGAACCCATGGATCTTCTGTTGCAAATACTTGACAGCTATCTTTCATTGGACTACGTCCACTGTGTTGATACACAACTTAGTAAAATGGAAACGATGGACGAACCCTGGAACCTACTTCAAGTATCAGGGCGAGCACCACTGCTCGTGTTTCAACCTTTGTTCATTGTGAGTGCCGCTGAGGGTAATCGAATAGTCAGGGGCGTAACACCTCGTAGAATTTGAGTAGTTTCAGCAGTAAGTAGTGACAGACACACTTAAATGTTCTTCAAAGCGGAACTAGTGACATCAGCGCTACCTGACCAATACCCATGGCTCGAATATGGTACCTGAAATGCTCAAGATATCGCCGATCCAGCCAAAGAACTCCTACGTAGCCCGTGCTGGCTCGAGACATCAGGACATGCGATGTAGAACTAGTCGCAAGCTGCTCGAACACCACATTTCTCTTTAGCATATGCACTGTTGGGCATAAGCGAGATTGGTATGAAGTTCCCATGTAGGTCCAGATTTAACAATCAGCCCCAAATGCGATATCTCTCGCTTTCCTGGTAATGTCCCGGAGGTAATACTTCTGATGATAGTATGCATTGACTCTGGCACAAGAGCTGGTAGGCAGAGCTGCGCACAATGAAGCATCACTCCATCAGAACAAGCGACGCTGGTGTTCATCGATACCATGGTGTATTTAAATTCATTTTCGGTAGTATGTCGTAAGCAAAAGAAGCCAGTGCGGAATCATGTATCACGGATGTCTCGTGTACCCACCAGAGTCACTGTCAACATTTTGTCCGATGGCTTCCTTCCGATGCAAGCCACGAATTTGTTTGCCTAACATGCAACTTCATCTAGAAGTTTGTTCACGATTGTTCCTCGCCAACAATGATGCTTCGGATAACGCGGTGCTGGGCTCCGGGCATTGCCGTCCGTACACGTCATTATATGTATTCACGACGGTTGCATCGGCTGGCTGCACGCTCCCGACAATCCAGATGTTGTATCGTGAGCTCCGATATAGAGAGACCTAGTGAGTTGCAGTAACGAACCCGGGTGGTTAGGGACACGGGGGCATGTCTCGTTGTTCGCTTTTCTAACTCAGCACACAACAAGATTGGGCGTCTTGGGGCCTCTAGGCGGTGAACAACAGTCGCAAGCGAAAGCGAAGAGCCCGTGAGCCGACCAAATCAATTCTTCGCTTATTAAAAGAGAAATGATTGGGAAGATTTTGAGGCTTGCAACGTTGTCCTGAGACCCCAGGCTGGTGCCAGGGGTCCTATGCGTCTTGTCGGGTCATTCCGACCACTTGGGAGCCTTCAACACTCCCCTTGATCTCTTTGCATTTGCTCGACGGGCCCAATGCTGTTGTTAGGGCCCTGTCTGCCAACAAGCCGGGCCACTCTTGATCAATCAGGGGCCCTTCAAGGATTCTTCCTATTCGCCCGAAAGGCTTTAAACGCTATTGCCAGGGGTCCCATGCCGGAGCCCACTCGTTTGCTCAAGGGCCCTTCACATCGGTCCCGGGATTTTCCTACGTGCTAGGAGGGTCCTGCGTTGTTGCCAGGCCCTACATAAGTTAACGCATGGACATACTCTATGCTCAATGTCCTCTTTATTGATCTATAACTCTTTCCCCCCGATCTTATTTACGTAGGACTCTGCGCTCTTGTCGGGGCTCTTTCCGTTAACCTACCCGGGCCTTTTCATCGCACAGGGGTGCGCTACAATGGTCTCGGGCGCTTCATATGTGCTTGGAGAGCCATACGCTGTTGTCCAGGGCCCTTTAAGCTCACCTGCCAAGGCACTCTCGATCGCTCGAGGACATTGATTCATGTACACTGGTTCGGGGTTCCTTCCGTTTGCTCGGGGAACCCTGCGCTCTGCCCGAGGTCCCATATGTTAACCTGCCGGAGCATTCCCGCTCGTTCAGGGATCCAACACCTCGGTCCTGTTTTGTTTTTTTGTTGTTGCTTGTTTTGAGGACCCTACACTGTTGACGAGAGCTTCTATGTTAGCTGCACGCCGTTGACGGGAACATAAATGTTAGTCGGTTGGGCACTCTTGATCTCTCAGGGGCCCTAAACATTGGTCGTGGGTTCTTCCATTGATATTAAAAGAATCTCACTTTGCTGAAAGTTTCACATTTGGTTGCGAGCTCCAGGGTGCTTTGCCTGCTCGTGTTTACGGGTCTGGCTAAATTAACTCATGTACACAAGTCCGTAATCGGCAAAATAATTTCTGCTATGTTACTTGAGCCTTAGAGCAGCAGTGGCATATGCTTCAGTGATTTTTACGGGCAATTGCCGAATTCGATTGTATGCCCCGCCGGCGGCG